CACTATTTGAAACATGAAATTCGTTATTATTTGCAAGAGCAACCTGCTTTTGACAAGAGGCAGTTTGTGGCGGTTGTGAAGAAGTACATTAAAGGCACTGACGCCTAAGTTGGAACCGGAGAAGCAAGAATTGTTTAAAAAGAATATTGAGGGAGCAACCAAGTACCTTCTCTCCAAGCTCAGTGACCTACAGTTGTATATGTTTATTTACGCTTTGATCTAATAGCTAGATTTGTGACTTTCTTCTGAAACAATAGTTTGAGAAAGAGAGAAGAGAGAGCAAATGAATAACTCTATATTTCTGTGAATTTCTGTGTATATTTACAAAGAGATGTACGCTCTCTTTATAGAGAGGAGAAGACAACATAGGATGCCAATTGAGGCACCGAAAGCATAAAGTAAGGGGACACTAATTATTAAAGCTAAACACTAACATATAATAATATACTAACAACCCCCCTCAAACTCAAGGAGGATAGGTGCTAACCAACTTGAGTTTGGAGAGAGTAACAAAACAGGAAAGTAAACTGATAAATAAAATAAAATAGGATAGGAGACACTGTATGGTTGTGTCAAATTGTTGTTGAAGACACGGTATGGTCGTGTCACACCATTGGAGAAGACACTGTATGGTCGTGTCGGACCGTTGTAGCAGATAATGTCTAGACAGTTTACGAGGTCATGCCGGACCGATGTAGAAGCTAACCGGAATCAATGTCGAGACAGTTTGCGGGGTCATGTCGGACCGTTGTAGGAGCTAACCGGAATCAATGTCGGGACAGTTTACGAGGTCATGCCGGACCGATATAGAAACTAACCGGAATCAATGTCGGGACAGTTTACGGGGTCATGCCGGACCGTTGTAAAAGATTGTGGTGGTGCACCAAGGGGGCGACTTAGGGAGTGCGCCATGGGGTGGCTTGGGTGGTTCCCATGGTATATAACCATGCTCATTAGCTTGGGTGGTTCGCATGGTGTGTAACCATGCTCACCATGATATATGTATAACCCCCCCTCAAACTCAAATAGGTGTGAAGATAGAAACCTATTTGAGGTTGAAACAAAGGGATTAAGAAAGTGGAGTAAAACAGCTCAACACAGAGTGAAGATGTTAAAAAAAAAATGATAGAAAGGGTTTTTTTTTTTTATTTTCTTTTGTTATGTGTTTGTATTTTTTTTTTTTGGTGGTGTAGAACGGTGAGCGGGGTGGATCCCCGATAGGAATAAAAATGAGAGTGTTGTGCAAATCTAGAGGACATGTATGACACAAGACTGAGCAGAAAAGCAGTTGGTGTGAATGGGTGATTTGTTTTGTTTTGTTTTGTTTTGTTTTTGTTTTTGGTGTTTAGTGTTCGGGTAAGAGATTATAGTAAAACATATATATATAAATAATAAAAGAAAGGTGAGGGTGAGCTTGACAGAGGGGGGTGAGTGGGAACAGAGGATAATAAAAATATATATAGAGAGAGAGAAAAATAAATAAATAAATAATAACGTAATGGAAATCAAAAAAGAGAGAGAGAGAGTGGAGTGTGGTGTGGGTAGAGAATAAAGAAAAGAAAAGAAAAGAAAAGAAAGGGGAGTTGTGGAAAGAAAAGTTTAAAAGAAAGGATGGGAAAGAAAAATAAATGTGGGTATTTAAAAGAGTGCAAAAGTAGTTTGGAGAAAATAAATAAAAATAATTGATTTTGAAATCAAACGTGATAGGAGGAGAGAGAGGGAACACGCCCATGTGATAAAGTGGAGAGAGAGCTGGGTATTCATATGCAGATGAGTATGTTTTGTGCTGGTGGAACTGGTTTTGATATATGGAGGTAGTGGAGAATTATTTTATTGGAGAGGGGAAGGTAGTGGGAATAAAGAGATCCACACATGGGTTATACATATAAAGAGAATAAGAAATTAAAAGAAATAGATAAAAGAAAAAGAAGAAGAAAAAAGTAGATTCATTTGCCTCCATTTTCACCATCTCTGTAGAAGAGTCAACCATGGCTGCTCATGGAGAAGAAGTGAGATGCAAAAGAGCTACTGGATCGAGCACTCTGCCGATCTCACTGTGGAGGCTATGAAGCTCAACTCCAAAGCTGCTGATCTCGACAAAGAAGAGAGACCTGAGGTACTTGCTCTGCTTCCACCATATGAAGGAAGGCGGGGGTGGCAGAGATGTTGGAGATGAATGCACGGAAGGCGGGGGTGGCGATGGGTGCTGTGCGACGGCGGTGGTGGTCGATTCGGGGTTTGACTCTTTGTTGCTTCATATGAATCCATGGTGAGGTCTGGAAAAGCTTGGTCTTCGTTGGCAGCCATTGTAAAGGCAGAGAAGAGCTCAATTATGGAAGAATGTATGTGTAGAAAAACAAGCGGACTAGGTTGAGGTCAGGCGGGCGGCCAAGGCGAGGTTGCCGCCCGCCGGTGAAGCGAAAAATACTAAGTTCTTAACCTAGCTCTGATACCATGAAACAATAGTTTGAGAAAGAGAGAAGAGAGGGCAAATGAATAACTCTATATTTCTGTGTATTTTTGTGTATATTTACAAAGAGATGTACACTCTCTTTATAGAGAGGAGAAGACAACATAGGATGCCAATTGAGGCACCGAAAGCATAAAGCAAGGGGACACTAATTATTAAAGCTAAACACTAACATATAATAATATACTAACATCTTCAATCAATTCACATGGTTAACTAAGGCCTTGTCTGCAAAATGTTCTGTTATGAAAATTGAAAACAAAAACTTGTTTAGTGCTTTATTTTTGTTTTTAAAAAAAATGATTGATTCCAATATTTTCAAAGTTCTTGGAAACAAACAAACAAAAAAAATGTCTTATAACAAGTTTTCACTCTCTCTTCTCTTCCCCACCTCCCCTTCAGCCACCAACCACAGCCAGTCCTTGCAGGTGACCCTCCGGCCACTCTCCACCACCTCCAATAACTCATCAAACATGTTTATTTATTACTTATTTTTATTTATTTTCAAAATATTTTGTACTCCAAACAAATTTTTTGTTTTTTACAAAAGAAAAACCTTATTCTTGTTACAAAAAACAAGAAATTGACGCCGTTATCCAACAACTAAATTTGTGACTTTCTTGCATGAATTCACATGGTTAACTTAAATTCAATGTAGTACTTTAATAATATCTATGGTAATTGATATAATGTTTTTTTGCTGCAGTTTTGTGGGGGAGAGCATGCGCAATGATATGTGTTTGCATATTATAAAGAAGGAGCCACTGATCCGACTTTTCTGCACCTTGCCTATGGATTGAAGGAGGTTAAGTGCTAAGGGATGGAGTTTGGATTCAATTTATTCAGCTCCAAAAAGTTAACGATAGTTTTTTTGTCCGTCTTTCGTCTAATGGGGGAGTAGAAATTAATTTATGAGTCATGGGATTATTAGTTTTTTTTTTTTTTTGACATAGTTATGTATTGACCTGGATATGTACACTTTGTGTGGGTTGAAGAATAAATTATAAATATATAGTGATTTTTTTCAATAATTTTTCTGTTGACATTGCCTATGTTTTTTTGTTTATGCAATTCCTAAAGTCGAGGTGGAACTCTTAACTTCTCATTTCTAAGGAAAAATTATATCGTGGAGATTATATAGTCATATCTCTGATCAATCACAAATTATCATGTTCTTTAGTGTTTATCAATCACTCAACATAAAATTATAAATTTTACTCTCTTCACTCATCACAATATACCTAAAGTACCACGTAACCGTGCCCAAGACCACCAAATAACTTAGGGGTGAAAGTAGTAGGATAAGTGCCCACATATTTCAGCCCTCAGTTGTGATTCTAAGCTATCATCTCCCTCCATTTTTTTTCCTTTGCCCTCAAACTCAATCTTGAGGAAAAAAAATATTTTGCATAATGCTAGTGGAATAAAGTACTCTAAACCGTATTAAGCTTTTTGCATTTTATTTATTTATTTATTTCTAGGAAAGAACATCACAAGATAGTCTCTCTCTTGAAGCAATCTTTAAAAACAAAAAGAAATTGAGTGTTGAGAATTTCTTTTTGAATTCGGAAGATCTGAATGAAGGTTGGAGAGAGAGGAATGGGAAGGGATTTTTTGATCTTGTCATGAGTATACTAATGGGGCTGTTTGCTGCAGAGTAGTTTATAATATTTTTTTTGTTTTTGGAAAATTTATGTTAGATTGTTTAACATAAATTTTATTTATTGCTTCTATTTATTATTTATAAAGCAAAAATATCTTAAATAATTGATTATTAGAAGAGAATTAAATTACATTTCAATTGAATAGTAAAAAAATAGTCTTATTTTCATGAGGCTCAAGACTTGTAGTATAAAAAATTTCACGGGTAATGCAATTCCCTTATTAAAAAGCAAGAATAGCTTTTACTTTTGTTTTTATAGATTAACTTTTAGCTTGTTTAGACCATCTCCAAAGGGAAGTAACAAATTTAAGTAGCAACTGTGAACTTTGCTACCTAATATCTAAATTTGCTACCTCAATTTGCTACTTCTAAAATTTTGTGAAGGGAGGTAGTAAAATTTTATTATTTTATCATTGTTGTTCCCGAAAGCTTTTTTACCATTGAATAGAAGCTGTTACTAGTAACACCAAACAGACCAGTATCTGAAAATGTAAATGCCCGTAAATCACCCTTCCATTTGTAAAAAATTAAAACATTGCCTTAAAAAATACCATTTTGAATTTATAATCGCCATAAATAATAGTACATGCTTGTATTAAGAACATTACTTCTACTCATAAAATCAATCAACAAAACACAATTAATGAGATACATTGATCATCACTTATCCATTACTAGAACAATGTGTTCATCCTACTATAACATGCTAGACATTTTCCACACACAAAAACAAAAACAAAAACAAAATATTTGTTTTCCACTAAACAATTTTCAAAAAATGTTTTCAACCAAAGCAAACAAAGCATAATATTAAAAAAAAAACTCAAAAAAAATGCACATATACTGGCTGGAAGACAGTCTGGCATGTGACCAAAACAGGATGATATAGGTGGAACAAGCCAGAAATCAAGTGGTGAACAAAAGCGTTTCTAACAGATTTAATAACTATGCCCCTAATTACAGTGTGCTTACACAATTATCATAAAAACCACACAAAACCAAAAGGGTCATTGTCAGTCACTCAGTTTTCAAGTCTTATAATTGGAACTTTCAAAGTAAAAACAATTGCTACCTCACCTCCCTTGCTGAACTTGCATCATGACTTCATACATTCCAACTTTTCTCAAGTAATTTATCACTTTAAGCTTTGGTTTCCTTCTATGCCTGAACTCACACACCGCCTTCTCAGATGTGTGGCCTATGCATAGTAATTTAGGCTTGCTTTCTTCTTAGCCTGAACTTGGATGATACCTTCATTGAAGTCTTCATGGTTCACCTGCACAAAGGTCAAGCCATTGCCTTTATTAGCAGTTGCTCCTAACAAAAAAATTCCACATATGTAAATGCACAAATTACTCTCTTTTCTTTTTCTTTTCTTTTGTTTTTGGTACTACTTTTCAGCTTTACCTCACCAAAACAGGGGAAAAAGAATAGGATTTATCTTTGTACTTGTAACACATTTAGCCTCTAATATAGATATCATGCTGTTAGAACCTTTTTATGAGTATATCAGTGGATTGTCATCCGCAGTTATGTATTATCTTCCTCTAAACACATTCAATTTCCCAGTAAACTTGAATGGATTTAAGGCATCTATTAAGAGCATTAGGGCATGTCTCTGGTGAGCATTGTTGGTTCATCCCATGTGAGCTCCTATTGGAGAGCCCACTTTCTCCACCCAATGGAAGTGGCTCTCCCACTCTACCAACCCCATTAGAGAGTGGAAGAAGGTAGGTGGTGACCAATGAGGCTCTCCCTCATTGGTGTATAAATAGAGGTTGAGGGGAGAGTTGAAATGGACAGAGAGAGAGTGAGAACCAAGAGAGATCAGAAATTGAGTGTGAGAGCTGTGAGTTGAGTGAGTTTTATCTCCTCCTCTGTACTCCGACATATGTGTTGGTTCATCCCATGTGAGCTCCTATTGGAGAGCCCACTTTCTCCACCCAATGGAAGTGGCTCTCCCACTCTACCAACCCCATTAGAGAGTGGAAGAAGGTAGGTGGTGACCAATGAGGCTCTCCCTCATTGGTGTATAAATAGAGGTTGAGGGGAGAGTTGAAATCATCAGAAATTGAGTGTGAGAGCTGTGAGTTGAGTGAGTTTCATCTCCTCCTCTGTATTTGTATTTTTGCTCCATTTTAGTGATAATTCTCATTTCTGTCCGTGGATGTAGGCATTGGGCCGAACCACGTAAATATTGTGTTATCTGTGTGTGTGAGACAATTTTCTGGGTGTCTTTGATCCTAACAAGCATCAGTGTCCGACACAGACATGACAACTTTTTAGAAGTGCCAGTACTTAGATAATGATTATGATCAAGCAAAGAACATGCATTAGATCACTTGTAGCATCGCTGTCATTGGTTTCCTGTCCTACTTATCAAAGCATCCTTTAAATTCTCACATATTAAGCCTAGTCCACACACACACACACACAGACCTCGGTGGCATCGCGTCAAAGAGCAAGCATGCCTGCCTCCACACAAACAGCTTTCAGTTGTGCTCCATTGAAATCATCAGTAGATCGAGCTAGCTCTTCAAAGTTGACACCTGGGTGAACATTCATCTTTCGGGGGTGGATCTACAATACCAATGCAAATGAGTCAGCTGGAATTCCCCATGGTAAAAAAAGAGAATATAATGTTTAAAGTTCAGAAAGGAAGGATTTTGAAAGCAAGCAAGCAAAACCTGCAAAATTCTAGCTCTTGCTTCTTCAGTGGGATGTGGAAACTCAATTTTACGATCCAATCGACCAGAACACATGAGCGCAGGATCTAAAATATCAGCTCTATTGGTTGCTGCTATCACCTGCAGTTTAAGAAAGTACAAAAAACAAAACAGAACAAAAAAAATAAAAATAAAAATAAATAAAAAAATAAAATTCAACTATTGGAACTAAAGACCCAAATGATGACAAAAAGTGGAGGCAGTCCTACTAGTCGTGCTAGTGAGTGCCATATGGGTAGAAGTGATGGCAGAGAACCAGGTCCCAAGCATCCAGCCTGTACAGAAGTTCTAAAGAAACAATCTTCGTGGCAGCATGGTCTAAATGTCAAGAGCCAACAGTTGCCTCGAAATGACCATTACACTGAAACTATAATCAGTTGAAGGCAAGAGACAAACCTTTATCCGATCATCGCTACTAAAGCCATCAAGCTGATTGAGCAACTCTAACATTGTCCGTTGAACTTCCCTATCCCCACTAACTTCACTGCATCAAAAGAGGGGGGAGAAAAAATTTAGTGAGACTGTTTATGAAATAAACTCAATTATTAGTCACCAGAAAAGCATAATACTGAGATTAAAAAAAAAAAATAGCAAACACAAACTGAAATCAAGTAAAGCTGCAAATGACACAAATAAGGTATACCTGTCACACCGCTTTGTGCCAATAGCATCGATTTCATCTATGAAGATGATGCAAGGAGATTTCTCTTTAGCAAGTTGAAAAGCATCACGGACAAGTTTCACTCCATCCCCAATGAACATCTACATGGATAAAAACCTTAGTTACTAAATTAATAGTGAGCTCCTTGACTACTTCACTAGAGCAAAACAAATTGATGACCGCTTAAGTGCATTACAGATTTGTACCTATACAATATAATTGTTGCATGGTAACAAGAAAATTTCTTGAGGACTAGCTAGCTTAATTTAAACTGCAAATGATATAGTTATGCATCAAACTTTAACAATCAAGATAGTACGTAAAAGGTAATAAGCATTAAATATTAAAACCAAATGTATCTTTCTCAAGAATGCTTGACTACTCATTGACCTTAACAGAGGCCCATGAAAGGACAATATTTAATTCATTAACTTTTGAAGAAAAAAAAGGCAACGGCATAATATAACTAATCAAACCAACCAAAGGAACAATCTCCAGGTTTACGACTGACTGAAAAACTCAATCACAATTCAGGACTACTAATTTAAAATAAAAAATAAAAAATAAAAGTTCTGACTTCCTCCAGAAAAAAAACTGTTGCACCTTAATTAAGTGGATATATATTTTAACGTCAGATAAGTTTGTTACCCCAATCCGAACAAGCTAACCAGAAAAGGAAATTTCTGCCACACTAGCTATAAATAAATAACAAACAATATTCCTTTCTTAGTGCATCAAAAAGAAACAAAAACTATAGTCCCTTCAATATATTCATGGTTGGTGTAAATGCATCAAAAGCAAATTGTGATTCCAAAAAAAAGCCACAAATCTCACAAGGTGTAGGTGGTTTCTTTATGATAAAAACCAGGTCAAAAATGAAGACAAGAATGAAGTTAACAAAGAATATATACCTGGACAAGTTGGGGACCTGCTAGCTTCAAGAAAGTAGCATTAGTTTGGGCTGCACATGCGCGAGCCATTAGTGTTTTCCCAGTGCCCGGAGGTCCATACAAAAGCACTCCTTTGGGTGGGCGAATCCCTAATTTCTGAAACCGTTCTTGGTGAGTCATGGGCAAAACAATAGCCTCAACTAATGAGATAAGTGTGTAAATATTTTTGAGCTAAGAAACTTGCCTGTTTTTCAAGCCCTCCAATATCATTGTAGTTTTCAGTTGGTTTTTCATCAGCCTCCATTGCCTTAACTCGAGAATCATACACAGATGGCAAGGTCTGTTGCAATTGTAAGGAAGTCCAAGTGAGAAGCCATATATATATGTAACTATCTAACAATACCATCAGCCAATGAGATAAGTGTGTAAATATTTTTGAGCTAAGAAACTTGCCTGTTTTTCAAGCCCTCCAATATCATTGTAGTTTTCAGTTGGTTTTTCATCAGCCTCCATTGCCTTAACTCGAGAATCATACACAGATGGCAAGGTGTCCAATATAAATAAATATACCATCCACGTGCTGCTGTTGTGTGTAATGCTCATGAGTTATTTTTAGGCGAGCGGATCCTCTAGAGTTTAATCCCTAGAGTGATCTCCTAAAGTACTTGATCGAACGGCTGAGAATAAAACTCACCAAAATGACGTCGTTTTGGTGAGTATTTTGAAAAAAAAAAATAAAAAACAAAAATTTAGAATTTTCGATTTCAAAATTCCCCTCAGCTCTTGCTAATCGTTTCTGGGAATCACCTGGTCTCAACGGTGAAGAAGAGGAAGAAGATGGAGAGGAAGCACATGAAGATGATTCGAGGCTAATGGAGGATAAAGAGTTGGTTGAAGTGTATGAGAAGATGGTTTCAACTGAAGCCATTGAAGAACAAGAACAAGAGAACCCAGAAGCAGAAGCAGAAGCAAACGTGGTTATGGAGGTAGAAGAAGATGAAGCAAAGGAAAACCCAGAAGAGGAAAAGTTAGAGATCAATGACGAACTACCAGAAGAAGAAGAAGAAGAAGAAGAAGATCAAAAACCAGACCCAGAAGTCCATGAAGCGAAAGAAATGAAAACGATTGTTCATCCGAAGCTGTTGTAGATCCAAAGAACTTTGAAAATGAAGATCCACTGTTGATTCAAGAGACAGAAGATGAAGAGATTAGGGCGAGCCATCGCTCTTCTTCAGTATCGTCCGTATATTCAGATTTAGCAGAAGAAGAAGAATTAAAGGATTTTCAAATTTTCAGTTCCACAGGAACCTTCGTTGTTTTGACATCCCTAAGTCTGAATTTTTTTTATATTTTTTTTTTTTTGGTCAAAATACTCACCAAAACGACGTCGTTTTGGTGAGTTTTATTCTCAGCCCTCGAATTAGGTACTTTAGAAGATCACTCTAGGGGATTAACTCTAAAGGATCCGGACGCTATTTTTAGCCCCACACCAGCACTCACTTCTCTCTTTTATTATTATTTTTTTTTTAAACACTTTCCCACCGAAAGTAAGCAAGTCCCTTTCAAAAATTTCCATCACATTTTTTTTTTTTTTATTTGGGTCTTCACACATATGAGAGGGGCTTTAGTGCGAAAATAGAAGAAATGGTTTACAGAGTGTCTTCTTGTTTCACGACTTCAATACTTACGAGAGAGGAGTAGGCTCATGTGCGAGAGAGAAATGAGGGTTTGTAGGAAGTGTCTTATCACATTTTTTTTTTTTATTTGGGTCTTCACACATATGAGAGGGGCTTTAGTGCGAAAATAGAAGAAATGGTTTACAGAGTGTCTTCTTGTTTCACGACTTCAATACTTACGAGAGAGGAGTAGGCTCATGTGCGAGAGAGAAATGAGGGTTTGTAGGAAGTGTCTTCTTGGGTCACGACTTGAGTGTCCGTGCACATGAAAATGAGTGATAAGGGTCAGAGTGTGTCTCTTGGGGTCACGATTTCAGTGTTCCGAAACACAAAACCATGGCATATTAATAAAGAGAAATAATTAGTGATAAAATATTTTTGTCTCCTTAAATACAAGAACAGAGAATTTATTATTGGTGACGAAATATTTTTGTCGTCCACAACATAACCTTATGAGACGAAAAATATATTCATCGCGCAATCAATCAGAATTTATTAGTGACGAAATATTTTCATCTCCCACGACTTATTCTTCCAAGACAAAAATATATTTGTCGTCCATTCAATAGAAAGATGAAACGGCATCGTTTGCATCATGGAGTGTTTATTGGTGAAGAAATATTTCCGTCTTCCATAACTTATCATTCTTAGACAAAAATATATTTGTCGCCCAATAAATGGAAATATGCAACAACATCATTTAATAGGTAGGGAATTTATTGGTGACGAATTACGTTTGTCGTAAAAAATATATATATTTTGTGACAAAAATGTTCGTCTCCAATGAGTTAAAATAATTCGCGCCAAAGCAAATGAAATTGGCGCCTGAATTTTGCAGACGAAATTTTTTTTCGTCTCCTATATGTTTGAAAAAAATTAAAACAAATGACAAAATTAATATTTTTTCATCTTTGGGTTAAATTTTAAGACCAAAAAAAAAAATTCGTCACCAAATTTTGTCACAATAGCCTAGATTTCTTGTATTTTATTTCCTTGTTTAATTTTTATTTTTTTTTTCTTTTTGTGGAGAGGGGTTTACTGTGAGAAAGAATAGTAGCTTTGCACAAAATGTCTTCTTGGATAATAATGTTTGCATGCACAAACGGCTTAAATGTGAGAGAGAATAGAGGAGCTTCAGTGCGAAATAGAAGAGATGGTTTATAGAGATTGTTTTCTCGAGTCACAACTTCAATACTTGTAAGAGAGGAGACTCAAGTGCGAGAGAGAAATGAGGGTTTGTAGAGGGCGTCTTTTCGGGTCACGACTTTAGTATTTGTGTGTGTGAGAAAGTAAGTGATTAAGGTGAGAGTGTCTCTTAGTTTCTGACGACATTTTAATAAAGAGAAATAATTAGTGATAAAATATTTTGTGGGGGTCAGAGTAATAACAGTCTTAGTACTGTTTATTTCAGTTGTTATAATTCTGGCGAAATATTAAGACACCAATCACAAATTTATACAAAAAAGAATTTACACACAAAAATATAGAAAATAATATTTTGTAACAAAAAACCAATGATAAACAATATATTACTACTATGTTATCAAAGAAATCAATAAACAATATGTTACTACTATTTAAGAAATTAAACCATATATGACTATTATTTAATTTCCCGAAACAAAATATTCATCTGTCTAACACAGAAAAATAAAAACCGTAAATCTATTTTAAGATTGTTATACCCACAGAGGTGTGTGTGTGTGTGTGTGTAAATGAAATGTATAAATTAAATAGACAATAAAATAAAATAATTCAGAAAATAATTATATAAATTAAATTCCGAATTAAATGCTTACAAAAATTAAAGTCGAGGCTTGTGTTGGACACAATCTCCTTAAAGTAGATTTTGCCCTCGCTCTGGTGCTTCGAGTTTTACTGGCATCTACTTCTTAAGATGCAATGACTAACACTTGTATTTTGCAGCAGAACAAAACCAAGCCTTGCGAATTTAAATTTTTTTTTTTTTTTTTTCTTTTTTTTTTTTTCCAAAAAAAAAAAGTACACTAAATTTTTTTTTTTTTTTTTTAGTGGAGAGAGGTTTTGACCTTTGATTTTTCTAAAATGGGTGTTCTAGACGGAAAGGGTAGAGTTGGTTCAAACAGAGAGAAAAAGTGCTAGTGTGCAAGAGGGGCCTTTACTGTGAGAAAGAATAGTGGGTTTGCATAGGGTGCCTTCTTGGATAATAGCTTCAATGCTGGCATGCACAAAGGGCTTAAGTGTGAGACAGAAGAGAGGGGCTTTATCGCGAAATAGAAGAAATGGTTTACAGAGTGTCTTCTTGAGTCATGACTTCAATACTTGTGAGAGAGGAGTAGACTCAAGTGCGAGAGAGAAATGAGGGTTTGTAGAAAGTGTTTTCTTGGGTCACGACTTCAAGGTCCGTGTACATGAAAATGAGTGATAAGCGTTAGAGTGTATCTCTTGGGGTCACAGTTTCGATGCTTCGAAACACAAAACCACAGCATTTTAATAAAGAGAAATTATTAGTGATGAAATATTTTTGTATCCTTAAATATCAGAACAAAGAATTTATTATTGGTGATGAAATATTTTTGTCTTCCACAACTTAACCTTATGAGACGACAAATATATTCGTCACGCAATCAATTAGAATTTACTAGTGATGAAATATTTTTGTCTCCCACAACTTATTCTTTCGAGACAAAAATATATTTGTCACCTATTTAATAGAAAGATAAAATGACATTGTTTGCATGATGGAGTGTTTATTGGTGACGAAATATTTTCGTCTTCCATAACTTATCCTTCCCAGACAAAAATATATTTGTTGCCTAATAAATGGAAATATGCAACGACATCGTTTAATAGGTATGGAATTTATTGGCGACGTCACAAAAAAAATTATATTTTATGAAAAAAATGTTCATCTCCAATGAGCTAAAATAATTCACGCCAATGCAAATGAAATTGGCGCCTCATTTTTGCAGACGAAATTTTGTTTTCGTCTCCTATACTTTTGAGAAAAATTAAAACAAACGACAAAATTAATATTTCGTCATCTTTGGGTTAAATTTTAAGGCAAAAAAATTTCGTCGCCAAATTTTGTCACAATAGCCTAGATTTCTTGTAGTGATCCTTATTCTTGAAGTCATTATATTCTTCAATAAAGATTTCTGCTTCGTACTGTGTCTGAATTCGATTGGCTGTTATTTCGTCCAAAGAATCACTGGTAGCCTAAGAAATTTTGTACCAATGAAGAAGGAGTAGAAGTTGGTCCAAAAAAGTTTGAAGTTCTGCTTGGGCGATGGGGTTAAGAACATGACCCCGAGTCATAACATCGCAGCCCCATTGGAAGTTCTTGAAAGGAATCTCATCTCCAAGAACATTGAAAGGCAAGTGAGAGAAGGCAGCAAGTAGAAGTTGAGCTTGATATCGCTCAAAGGCAGTTGAAAGAGATGGAGGTTGGTAGAAAGGAAGAAACTGATTCTCAAAAAGAGTAAGTTTCAATTCCTCCATCCAATGAGGATTCTGAAGGAGATAAGGTACCAAAGAAAGAAGGGAAC